CACTCAACCCCATTGGATTGTCCTTATTGGGAATTAAAGAAATGAATAACTATTCACTCCTTTGGCCAACTTACCATTAGAGTGGAACTCAGACATCATTTGCACAATCTCCCATTTCATGATGGCCCAACATTTTTGAATACATTTTAGATTAAAACCATCCGGCCCTAGAGCTTTGTTACCATTGCAATCTTTAATTGTTTCCCATATTTCATTCTCTAGAAAATTTGCCTCCAGTAATTCAGTTGAATCTGTTTGACTAATTGAGGCAAAAACACCTAACAACTTTGGTCTACACCTCCATCCTCCATTGAATAACTGACTGAAATGACTTACCACTGCCTGCTTAATCATCTTAGGCTACTCATGCAGTACTCCATTCTCATTAGCTGAGTTCAACGAGTTTTTCCTCTGCCTTTTACTTGCCATTATATGAAATAACCTAGTATTTTTATCTCCATTTTCAGCCCATATCATTCTAGATTTTTGATGCCACAACCATTCCTTTTTCTTGCTCAGATCCCATGTTAAACTTCTAACTTCTGCCATTCTTTTAATCTCAGAATCCTGAAGAGTCCTTCCTTCAGCTTGTAAATCCCAGAAGTTTAAAGCTAAATCCAATCTTATAACAACTTCATCTTCACAAGTTTGTCACAAACTTAAATAATCATTTTTCAATACAGTGGTATCAGAAAGTTGAGTCTCTAATATCTAATTATAAGACTATAGTTGGCTTTTTTAGAGATAACATATAGCATAATGTCCCTTCTTCTTTGCAAATATAGCAACGATCTGAATTTTAGTGCCAATATTAGTTCTCATGTTTAGCTAACAATCAAGTATCTTTCTCTTGACCATAGTTTTAAAAAATGGTATCAAAATTCGTATCGACATTAGCAAGACGATCATATATAGGTCAATATCAAATAGAATCACACATGGCATGACGTTGTTACTCTATTTATTTTAGGTGCTAAGTTGTTACTCTGTTTGTTTGCTCTACCATTTATCTTAGTTTTTGTTAGTTTCTCACCAACTTGTAGTGTTGTGCTTGCATATGATTGGACTTGCCCTTCAGTGCTAATGTAGTTATAATTGAGAGGGTCTTGCTATGATGCAGTCCTGCCTTCACCCTTACTGATGCAATCCTTGTATTATGCTATTTTACCATCAATAATCTCTCTTTTTGTTGATAAAAAAAAATAATAAAATAAAATAGAATCAGACAGTATTGGTCGATATATTGATGAATATTAGTATAAAAAAGTCTAAAATCTCGATACATAACAGTTAATAAGATATGTTACAACTAATATTTAAAACCTTACTCTCGACTGATGATAAAGAATGAGAAGATGAAGTCTACTAACCCTCTACTAACTCTGGAAAACTATTTTTCTAAATGGGAGTATTTGTAAAATAATTTAATAATTTATGAAACATCTAATATTTTTTTCATGATTTTATTAAGTCTATATTCATTGGGCCAAGTATTGGAGAAGTAGGTATAAATGGTAGAATGATATACCCAATGGTGAAAAACTTCAATGAATTAAAATGAAAATTACACCATGCAGTTGTGAAAGCAAGAAGCATTTATATAGAGTGGGATTTTTATTGAAGTTCATGCTTTTGAGTCGAGGAAAAGACTTTGGTATACATTTTATAATTAGAAAAGAAAATGACATAATTTTATATTTTTTGAGTCATAATTAAAATTGAGAAAAAAAATTATAACTAAACAACACATGAGGCATAACTAAAGATCTCAAGAGTCATAACTAAAATAAGATCATAACTAAAGAAGTTAATTGAATATAACTTGAGTAGAATTTCCCTAAATTCTTTTACCCATATATCATTTCCTGCATGTGTAAGGACATCTATATTTCATTATGGTCATTGTGAGATTTTGATGAATGAATTTTTGTTAGAACGTATGTGTTCATTGAATTTTTATGCAGCAATGGAACATTTCATAGATCTTGTTTTTACATCAGTTGTAAGTATCTCATGGATTGAGTTGAAAATTTCCCCATTTTGTTTTTTGGTTAGAGTGTATATTGTGATTATGAAACAGGTAGATGCTCAAGTTCAACAACTTGATCAATATCTGAAAAAATTTGATGAAGAGCTTCAGTGTGGTATGTTTCTTTTAGCTTATGCATCGTCTTCTATGTTTTGCATGTAATGGTGGCCTTATTTGAAATGTTGCTTTTCAACTTGTGGCAGAAAGAGAAAGTGCTGCTACAACTGGGTCAGCTGCTCAAAATCTCAAAAATAATGTTAAAGCTACCAGTGGCAGAGGAAGGTGTAAGACGTAACTACCTTTCCTACACCTGGATTTTCAAAGTCCTTGCTAGATTTATTTAGACCTCACATTTAGGCTATTGAAGCTTTTGATCCTGATTGCTTTTTTGCTTTTTGGGAGCTGGATTTGAAACTTGATAATTACTATGGTTATTGTTACAACTTTTAAGGTAATGGAGAGAGGGAGAGATTAGATATGAAGATTTAATTAGATAATGGAAAACACAAGAGAAGATAAGGAGTTGGCATAGTAGCAAGCTTCACGGGTATTTTAAAGGGGCCAGAGGGCTTAGGCGGGGGGATCCTATGTCCCCTTACTTGTTTGTTTTGGCTATGGAGATTTTAACTAGAATTCTTATTGAAAAAGCTAGCAATCTTTTGTTCAAGTTCCAGTCGAGGTGCGAGAAAACTAAAATTGTTAATCTTTGCTTTGTTGATGATTTAATGATCTTCAGTAAAGGGGATCCTGATTTCTGTGAGTCTCATTATGCAGGGGTTGGAGGAGTTTAAGAACTTATCTGGCCTTACCCCTAGTTCTAGTAAGAATAACATCTATTTCTCTGGCTGCAACAGGAAGCTTAGAGAGGATATTCTTCACATTGCTAAGTTCACTGAGGGCACTCTTCCTGTGAAATATCTGGGTGTTCCATTGATTACCACTAAGCAGGCCACTGATTGTCAAGCTTTAATCGATAGAATCACCAAGAGGATTAGGAGTTTGACTAATAAACCTCTTTCCTATGCGGGTAGATCCCAACTCATCCAAACTATGCTTTTTTCGATGCAAGTTTATTGGTCTTCTCTCTTTATCCTTCATAAAAAGGTAATTAGAGAAATTAAAAATCTCCTAAGATCTTTTCTTTGGTCTGGGATTAAGTTGAAGAAACATAGTACGAAGATTGCTTGGGACAATATTTGCAAACCCAAGAATGAAGGGGGTTTAGGGTTCAAAGATATGGATGTTTAGAATAAGGCTGTCATCGCGAAACATGTATGGTTTTTGTTTTCTGGAGGGGAGGGCTCTATGTGGTTCCAATGGGTTAAGTCATACTTACTCAAAGGCAAGAGCTTTTGACAGGTTAAAATGCCTAGTGACCCTTGTTGGGTGTGGAGGAAAATTTTATCTCTTAGGAACATCATCTTCCTTTTGATCAAATTTAAGATAGGAAATGGGAAAAATGTGTTCTTATGGTTCGACAATTGGCACCCCCTTGGTTCCTTATGGGATAAGTATGGGCAAAGGATTTTGCATGACACGAGTCTATTTTATGAGACCAAAGTATGTGCCATAATTTCTAATAATGCTCGGAAATGGCCTTTCTCTAACTCTAAGGGGATCAATGAGTGGGTTTCTTCTAATCTTCCAAAGCCTGGTAATAATTCTCAAGATAGGCCTTTATGGAGCTTGAATTCTGATGGTAAGTTTTCTATTCAATCTACTTGGAACTATTGGAGGGTTAAAGGTGTGAAAGTTTGTCACGACCCAAACCCGCTCCTATGAGTTTAGCATCGTAACCAGCCAGTAATCCTTGGATTACCAAAGGTCTCTTAACAGAATATCATATAGTTAGGGGCTACGAAAGCAAATACCTAAAATATACGAAGTCCAATGAGCTGTGATAACATACATGGGACAAATAGACAAATAATTTAAAACTTTTAAAAACTTGCGAGCGAAGTCAAAAGATATAGTATTTACACATCACTCCATGAAAATATAAACAGAAATCTTGCCCGCACTTAAAAAGAGCAAAGTCTGGTACATCACAAAAACAACCACTAAACTTGTTTCCATCCCGAACCTCCTCGGGAGGCACAAAGGTTGGCTGACAAAAACTGAAACATAGGCTGTCAACTTTGGGCCTAGTCACGTGCTTGCTCACCTACATTCATAATATAAATAGTGAGTTGGAGCCCAATAAATAATAACAGAGTAAAGGGTTTTAATGAATGATGTCCATACATATTCAGAAATCATAATTTAGATTCATAACATATTCATATTCATATTCTTGCTCAGATCATATGCAGAAATCAGAGTTCATGCTTAATCATACGTGACACATCCATTAGCGCTAACAGAACAGATGCAGAACATATGGTGGCTATGAATAACCAGTTCCATAAAGGAACCACCGGATCTGAGTAACAGAGAATAAACATGCTGAGCCCCATAATGGAACCTCCGGTACGGGTAACAGATTGCAAACATATTAAGTTCCATGATGGAACCTCCGATACCGGATAACAGCTAACAGATATCACATGATGCTAAGGATGCCACGAACACATTGTCAGAAATTGGATAATCATTCATTGTACAAAACATATCATTTCAGAAAACATATCTTAATTCATTATACAGAAAATAAATAAAGTTGAACATAACTTTACTAAGTTATTACTCACAGTTGGCTTCGGGTGCAGACAGACAGAGCAGGCTAATCAAACGGTCTACGGCACGTGACCTACATTAACAGTACATAACAAATACACATTTGAAACACACGTTGGAATACATCTAACCCATTACTCAAAGAACATGTCAATATCATTTGGCAGTATTGACGCGCACACGTGTAAGGAAAGGAAAGGACAGTACATCCACATGTCTAGCAAAGGATGAAGGAAATAGTGCGCACACAATATTGGATAACAAGGGAACGGCCTACATAAGGAGCACAACCCGACTGGGGAAAATGTCTACAATTTCTCACTCTCACTCTTACTCTCTCTACATTCCTTTGATCTTCTTTGGGTGCTAACTTGACTGTCGGAAGGGTTTACCAGCACAACACTCGCCTGTTAGCTCACCTGAGTTGTGCTTTCAAGTAGTACGACACGACGCCTTTCGGAGTAACACAAACTTGGTCGCAAGGAGTACAGGAGCAATGAATATTTCTCCCCTGTACAATGATTGTTTTGGAACTATAGATAGGGTTTTGATGCGAAGAATCCTATATAGGGAGAAAGCTTGAGACAAGGAGAATGCACATTAAAAATGAGGATGTCATATCCTAGGAACAATTTTCAATTAAAACAAAGTAAATAGACTAATGATTGTGATATATGCATACCCAACAACATAGAAGCCGAACCCATCCAAATGCCAAGAGTCCATTACATTCAAATCATTCTTGAACACAATTTCCAGCCACCCCTTGTGGTTTCCGGTGGCAACAAAAGTTCCATCAACGGCAACTGGATTGGAAGAATTAACAGGAAATTCATCGAGATTGTAGACGTCAGAGCCATTGATGAAGTTGTCAGCCAATTTGAGTGGCGTATCTGGGGTAGTGTAAGACACATTGTTGAGGGTGTAGCGTGGAACACCATTGATATCAATTATTGATCCTTGTAGTATGAAGGTTTGTGATAGTGTCACGTTTGATACGTTAAATGTTCCTTGAGGGTTTGGCCTGGCGGCACCTGCAGTCAAGTTCCATCTGTACATAGAGAAGAATCCAAAATAAGAAACAAATAAATTACACAAGAATTTATCGATTTTTACATTTAGGCCTCGTTTGGGAACAGTATTTTTTTAGTAACTTTTGACTTTTTGGCTAAAATATGATGAAAAAAAACTAGTATGTTTGGGATGATTTTTTGACTTTTTACGAAAAGATGTGTAAAAGGTAGAGAGAAAGGAGAATCTTTGACTTTTTGGTATAGATTGTTGGCTTTTTGACTTTTTTAGTAACTTTTTGATTAAACTGGTCGCTTCCCAAACGGGGCCTTAGTCATGATTGATCCTCTAATCTTTCATATAGAAGTGTATAGGGGTGGCTAAGTGAGGTTACTCAATTGGTTAATCTTTATTAGATGTTACAAGTTGTTCACAGAATATGACATAAATGTAAGACAAAAAATAAACCCCATGTATGGACTATATCTATGTTGGCACCACATCTATGTCTCATATTTTGTGTGTCATTTTTTATTTTGTGAAAATTTTATGTGTTCCTAAAGCTCTTTTTATTTTATTAACTAAAAATTCTATAATTTTCTAATCGTGCCAATGTTAATCCTACGGTGGCTCCAGGATAGAGCCACTCAAACAATGACTTTGAGCCTTATTTTAATTTTTTTTGTCCAAAAGCTTTATATATATATTTTCCCTTGCCTAAAGTTTCCAAATTTTTATTTTTTTAATTAATTAATTAATTAATTATTATTATTTTTATGCCAAGACCCAATGAAAAGAAACCCCTTTGTCTAAAGATCCTCAATTATAAAGACTGAAGAAAAACCGTCTTTATCAAGTAGGCATAAGATATAAAAAAAATGAGAGAAATCTACTACATGCACTTTTTAAAATGGAACACATTGTAAGAAAATTATAATTTTTTTGTGCTAAAAGTTATGATTATTTGTAATATATGCTATGATATTTTGTGGTAAAGTTATGAATAATAAATTTATGATGTACACCGTAAAATTAGGAATAATAATGTTATGACACTTTGTGTTTTTGTTATGACATTTTATACTGAAAAAAAGTTATGACATTTGTAGTGAAAAAATTATAACATTTTATGTTCAAGTTATGAAATTTTGTGAAAATGTTATATCATATACACTTTTTTAATGGTGCACATTGTAACATCTCCCACATAATATATAAGTTCACTTTCTAAACTTATTTTCTAAACTCAATAATGTATAAATGATATGATTAGTTAATAATTATAGAAAATATGAGAAATAATATTACCTTAGATATCCTAATTGATTGCCACATTATTGGGCTTAAATATTGAGTCTAATTTTTAGACTTGTATAACAATACATTTTTATGGGAGATTATTTATTTTTTTATCATTTCTTATTAGGATATCTAAGACAATACTCTTTTTCTTATCTTCTCTAATTATTAATTAATCATATCACTTATACATCATTGAATTTAAAAAATAAGTTTAGAAAGTGGACTTATATATTATTTTCTATATAAAAATTATCATTTGAGTAGAGACACTTTAATGAGAAAAAATGATAAAAAATAAATAAAATCTCATTGCCTAAAAGACAAATAACTAAATAAATAATCTATTCAAAATTCTCGTTCAATATATATATATATATGTATTCAAAATTCTAACTAAAATAAAATCATTATATATATATATATGTATTCAAAATTCTAACTAAAATAAAATCATTATATATATATATATGTATTCAAAATTCTAACTAAAATAAAATCATTATATATATATATATGTATTCAAAATTCTAACTAAAATAAAATCATTATATATATATATATGTATTCAAAATTCTAACTAAAATAAAATCATTATATATATATATATGTATTCAAAATTCTAACTAAAATAAAATCATTATCCAAAGGCTCCCCAAACATAGGTAGTATATGCAATGACACAAGGGCAAAGATATAGAGTTAAATTTAATAAAATTAAAAATCTAAGGTTGAATTTAAAATTGGGTTTTTCTTTAATTTCCCCTAAATCTTTTTTTTTTTTTGAAAAACTAAGATTACATTGATTAACTTATTTTATAAACATTAGTTATCGAAAAATTCTGAAAATCTCAGACAAAACCACCCAAAATTTTCTAACTAAGTGATTGTGTGATGGAGATTAAATTTGTATAATATGATTCATAATATGTAGAATAAATCTGAATTACAAAATGATAATTATAAATATTTTTTGAATAATTAAGTCTTGATTCATAATATTGTTGTTTATTTACCTTATGGATTTAGCTTGATTGAGTGAAAAGTCAAGGTCAAATGGATCGGGACCTTTTGGGAGAGGTCCATTGGGAGTTGTTGTGGAGTTATCGTAGTGTAGTACTGCTCTTCCCACAAGACTGGTATTATCAGTTGCATTAGACAATTTAGGACTTGCCACTATGTAATAATCTGCAGCTTCTTGATTTGCTGTGACGAGAACAGAGTAAGACTGCCCAACATGCACATCCAGAGAATCTAATGTTATTTGATTGGTGTATGATCCCTCTGTTTCAACCACCACCATTTGATGCTTTTGTATCCTGAAGTTTATGCTCCATGCTATCCCCACGTTTGCTATCCTAAATCTATATGTCTTTCCTGCACATTTAAAAAAATAATAATAAATAAATAAAAAATTAAAATTTAAAATTAAAAATGAATAAAAAAAAATCTGAATGAGACAATAATTAAGGATTAGGTGTTATAAATATTAAGGAAATCTCAGTTTAGTGTGGATTTGTAAAAATATTTTTAAGTTAGTGATAACCTATATATACATTAAACTATAAAATCATAAGTTTTTTCATTGATTAGTAATTAAATTTTGAAAGTACCACTGCATTGTAATTGCTCCTAAATATCATTGAAGAAAAGCGCTTATCCATATAGCCTCATATACTTTGCATTGGATAACGGTTTAAGATTGTATTTGAATTATAAATTTAAATAAAAATTTAAAAAAAAAGAATATGAGTGAAATATAATTTTTTTTTTTTTTCTACTTCTCTCACATTCTTGTTCTATTTTTTTTAAAAAAATATTTACTCAAATTTATTATTCAACCACAATTTTAATGTCAGCTATACTCAACCTAGTTCAAACACTAGGATCCCCTTTCCCTATCTCATTTTCAACAAAAGAAATAAATAAATATATATATATAAAATAATAATATGCGGATTTGAACAAATGAGATACTTGTTTACTTTGAATTACCTTGAGTGACAGTGAAGGATTCGTGGGCTTTGGTAAAAGGGTCCAGATATGGACCTTTCCCATTCATAAGCATCCCATCAGGGGGCATGTGATAGGCCCAAACAGTGGTGTTCAACTTAGACCTAACATCCTGCATATTTTATTTTTTTTTGACACAATGTCAAGCTATATACAAAAAATGAGGAGAAAACAAAAAATAGTATTTCTAACATTAGTTGACATATAACAGTTTTACCTTGAAATTATGTTGATACCAATCACCAATGAGAAGATCAAACTCGGCTTCGGGCTTGGGGAATGGCACAGCGATGACGGCCCGATTGTTAACTCGGATTGGGCCGAAGCCTCCACCGGCCTTGTGGAAGTTGAGGGAGGGGAAGTAGAAGAAGGTGCCGATCTGGTCCTTGGTTTGGAAAACGTAAGTCCAATTCATACCGGGCTGGATCGGGCAGTTGGTACCGGATACACCGTCTTGCCATGAGTTTTTTCTTTGTTGTATTCCATTCCTACGCACTACCACCACTTTAAAAAAAAAATAATAGTAATAATAATAATTATACTTTTAACTGTTTTATTCAAATTTTACTTTTATTTCTTATGTTTAATTCAAATAATTAAACTTTCATACTTCAATATTTAATTATGGGAAGTGTTTGAGTGTGCAAAATACATACCATATGCAGTTACATAAGTTTTCATAAATATACATAAGTTACTTTACAAAATTGCATAAATATATCATTGAGAGGGAGATTTGCGCTGGACAAGTACAGCGGAGCTACGGTAACGCGAGTTATAACGGACCTTGTGAGAGCCAGACTATTTGCTCGGTCGGAGCGGTTCCCCGGCCCGTCATGCCGGGCCGAGCTAGATTTGTCGACCGGAGCGTGGAGTCATGCGTGTGCCAGACCAAGCTGTGATTCGGCTAGGCATTCGGTTGGATCCGCAATGGTGTGTCTAGACCGAGCCAAGCACAGCCCGGAATGAATTTAGGCCGGGGCGAAGGCCGGCACGCCTCACGGCAAGTCAGTCCGGAAGGACTGTCTTCTTACAGCTCGACCATGAGGATCATGGTTGTGTTTCTTCCCAAGGGATAGGTCGGTCGTGATATCCCGGTTGAGTGTGCCACCTGGACCAATGATGTGATGGAGGAGAAATCCACTCCTGGCACGCGTCAATACCGTTGGCAGTTCCATACATGCTGTTTGGAGGTTTTAGCCTACACGCGTAAGGTAATGAGAGGCGAGCACTGCCACCTGTCCAGGGAAGGACAGCAGAGGTAGTGCGCGCATAATCCCTGAGGCTACATGGCCAGCCTAAAAAAAAGGAGGAATGGAGGATGTTGGAGGTAAGTAATCGGAACAACTCTCTCTCTTTCCAAAGTAGTGCTCTCTTCTTCCTCTTCAAGTGATCTGACTTGATCGTCGGAGGGTCTATCCGGCAACACACTGCCGGGTAGCTCACTATTTCCCTATTTTCATGTCAAGTGTCGTTACGTAAAGCTTGAGTTCAAGGAGTACGGAGAGCAAAGGATATTTCACCCCCGTACAATTGGCGCCGTCTGTGGTAAAACTCTTGATACGCAAACCTTGCTCTTCAAGCTTTTTCGACCGTTTCCATGGCTAACAATGATGAAACTCCACTGTCCGTCATCAATGGTGTCACACCAGAATCTGTTCGATGGAGAGAAGGCCCCCTTGCTATTCCAGCCATGGTGGGCCTGGAGACCTTTTCGAGAGGTGTGCGAGACAAACGCGCAAGGAGTACTGATCGCTCGAAGAGTCCAGAGGGCCGTCGACGGCGGGGGGATTCGCATGCACAACGCATGGAGCACAAACTCAAAGGCTAGAACGCCCTCATTCGCAAGATGGCGGCTGAAATGGAGGTACTGAAACGCCAGATCAATGGGAATGGTGTTGCTAGAGAGGCAGCCTCAGTGAGCGTACCCCGTCTCCTCGCTCTGGCAGTCGCCGCCAAGAAATGACGCACTCTCTCTCTATCACCAGAAGCTATGGGGTCGGGGACTCCGACCCACAGATGGGCAAATCTCTCACTCGCGATAGCACCTACCATCCCTCATGCCCATCGTCGATGTCGCGATACTCTTTTTTCGCCCGTTCTGGAAACCTGAGGGATGTGTTGGAGGAGAGGGCTCACCGTAGGGAGACTCAGAGATTGTCGGCATTGCAGAGGCTAAGCTCCCAAATCCATTGTAGTGAGGAAGTGGCAATGCCCGTGCCCAGAGTGGTGGCCCTAGCGCTTGTGGACAAAGAGCTGGTGAGACTTACGGCTACGCTGCTGTCTCCAGAAATCGAGAGTACACCATTCCCTGCCGGATTCCACCAGCCTAAGTTCACCTTGTACGACGGCAAGACGGATCCGTACATGCACGTGAGTCATTACCGGCAAGTAATGGCTGGACACCGACGCAATGACGCCTTGATGTGCCTCATATTCCCAGCAAACTTAGGAGAACTGGGCCTGAAATGGTTCGAAAGGCTTCTGGATGGGAGTATCGAGGGATGGCAGCAATTGGCGGAGGCCTTCGTCACCAGATTCAAAACCAACACTCGGACACCAAAAGAGGTCGACCATCTCTTGGGCGTCAAGATGGAGTCTGTGGGTTCGTTGAAGGCATACAATGCGAAGTGCTGGGAAACCTACAATGAGATCCTTGATTGCCCTACCAATCTAGCGATTACTCAATACAAGCGTGGTCTCCCAGTCGGGCATAGGTTGTGAGATTCGCTTACAATGCACCAACCCGCAACCATGGAGTCCTTAATGCAACGGATCAACGAATACATCCGTGTGGAGGATGATGCTGCCTTCGCAACCAAGAAGGCTAATCTGGTTACGGCGGACAGAAGAATGGCAGGGAAGGTTCACTCGGCGGGGCAGGAGGACAACCGCCCAAACGACCCGTCAAAAGATCAACGTCGTGGCTCAAGTCGCGATGATAGAAGTAAAGGTCGCAGAAACGACCGAGCTAACGCTCCTCGTGATGAGGAGGAAGATGCCAAGAGAAAATTGAAAGCGCGATCCAGTATCACCATGGTCTTTAAAATCCCTATTTACCGCATCCTGAGTGAAATTCGAGGAGAGCCTTTTGTTCGTTGGCCGGCCAAGTTGGGGAGTACATAGAGAGGCTTTAACTCAAGATATCGCTGCACTTTCCATGAGGAACGGGGGCACCGAATGAAGGATTGCTTGCCGCTCAAACAACATTTGGAGGAGCTGGTGGCGGCGGGGCATCTAGACTAATACATAGATAGGGGCATTAAAGCCACCCCACCGGGACAAACCGAACCGAACGGCCTAGCAGCCTTGGACACAGCGCCACAAGGCGTAATCAATGTCATCCATGGCATCATTGAATCGGCAAGGGTCTGCGAGCTGAGAGGGATGATTAAGAAAGCCGAGCACACGAGGGAGGTACTCTCCGTTCAGCCTGCTATGAAGAAAGGGAAGACCGAAGTGAAGGATATCCTTACCTTTTCAAGTTAGGACTTGGAGAGAATTCAAATGCCCCACAATGACGCCTTAGTAGTGACACTTCGCGTCAAAGACTTTGACATCAAGAGGATCTTGATTTACCAGGGGAGTTCGGTCGAAATCATGTATTATGACACGTTCAAACAAATGAAGTTGGAGGACAAGGTCTTGGCCCCTGCAACGTCTCCAATGGTTGGCTTTAACTCTCAACCAGAATGGCCAATCAGAAAGATCATACTACCGGTCAGAGTGGGATCAGTTATGAAGCAAGTGGAGTTATGGGTGCTTAAAGTCCCATCGACCTACAAGTTAATTTTGGGTAGGGGCTGGTTGCACGCTATGCAGGCAGTAACGTCGACCTACCACCAAGTTCTGCGCTTCCCGGCACCAACCAGGTAGGTAGAAGAGGTTTGGGGAGACCAGGTAATGGCAAAATAGTGCTTTGTTGCGGTAAACGGCAGCCGAGCTGCCAAAGGCTTCGTTCAAATGATAAAGAGCCCAGAGGGAAAGGAAGTCCTGGAAGACGTAGGAAAAAAGGCCGAGGAGAAATCAGTTGAAGATTTGGTGGAGGTGTGCGTAGACGAGAATGACCCAAACAAGTTCTTTCTTTTGGGCTCATCCTTGTCCAGCGTCGAGCGACTTGAGTACGTTGACTTTCTGATTTCCAATATGGAAGCCTTCGCATGGACGCCTTACGATATGCCTGGCGTCAACCCTAGTTTTATTTTCCACTAGTTAAACATCTTTCCAAATGCACGGCTGGTCATCCAGAGGACACGCCGCTCGACCTTGTATCATGCCGAGGTAGTGGCGGAAGAAGTCAAGAACTTGTTGGAAGTAGGGGCAATAGAAGAAGTGCAATACCCTCGGTGGATATCTAACACGGTGGTGGTTCCGAAAAAGAACGGCAAGTGGCGGGTGTGCGTTGATTATAAGACGGTCAACCGTGCGTGCCTAAAGGATAGCTTCCCCCTCCCACGAATCGACCAGCTGGTGGACTTGACCGCTGGCCATCAGAGGTTTAGCTTCCTGGATGCATTCGGCCATGATTTTCCAGCCACTTTTCGTACCTCTCCTTCATGGGTTCGAGATCATAATCTGGATTTTCCTGTTCCTCAGAAAATATTCTTGAAGGTATGCATAGAATCCATAAAATTACAAGAGTCAAACAAGAACTCCTCAAGACAAAAGGTGCACCCATGGCTACAGACAAAAGGTGATCACAAATGGAAACTTGTGTTAGGATGTTTATGCAGAATCACCTGGTAATTAGAGCAGTATGGTTTTTATTTTTGGTTATGTAGTATTTTTCTAGGCATTTCATTTGAGGTTCATCATGCCTCTTTTCATGCCTTCTGCACTTGAAAAAGAATTTCATTAAGGCAAGTATTTTATGCGTCTTTCGTGCAGCTGCCGCTTGTCATGTTTTGTTCACATCTTTTTTTTCATCAGCAATTTAATTTATTTTGCAAGTATTTTATGCATCACTGCTGCTTGTTGGGTATATACAAATCCATTTATTTGGTTTTATTTATTTATTTATTGTATTTTTGTTTATTTATGTTAGCAATTGTACCAAAACTTCCGATCTCAGCAGGCAATGCTCATGCAAATGCCATGAACTCGGGGAAAAAAAAACTGCTGAGAAAAGAATGGGCATTTGAACACGGGACCTTGTGTTGGAAAATTATTTGAAAGATGTAAACCATGCTCGGATAAAAAGTGGGCTTATGCTGTGTTCGGATCTTGAACTCTCTGTCATTTGTTCTGATGACAGAGCTATCTAGTGTTTGTATTTTTCTTGGCAGTTTGTCAATGTGCTTAACATTTTTTTGTTTGTTTGGTAACTTTTGCTAAATGGGCGTTGGAGTTGCATACAAGAGGGCGGGGGATAGGAAGGATTATTTTATTCCTAGATACAGGTGTTTGGTTCACATTTTGTGACCCAGGGCTGAGATATAATTTATCATGACGGCCATTTTATTTCGTATATGTAGAATTATTTTATCCAGGAAACGTTTTAAATAGTATTAGTGGAAATGTAATGTAAAATTGGAGAACGCGATATTGAAGATTTTGGGGCCTGCTAAAAACATTGTGCTGTATGACTGAAAGTAATACACACTTTTTTGGAATTTTTAGCCATTATCGAAGTAAATAATAAGATCAAGACTTTTATGTGTCATTGTAATATGCTGATTTACATTGATGTCTCTCTCTATATGCTGATTTGCATTTGCATTTATAAATTTAAGATGAATGGATTTCGTATTACTCATTCAATGATTATAACATTTTATTCAATGTTATATTTTAGATGTAGGTTTCAAAAATATTTAAATTCTTTAAAAATGGGACGAATGATTCTTCTGATACAAAAATATTAATGAAATGTCTCTCTCTTATTACTATGACATCCTTTACTTTAAAATTATCAATTACCTATATAAAATTTCTATAATTTTAAAAAATTTAACATCAAATCTCTCAATTTCAAGTCCAAAGTTGCCTAAAATTCGATTTCAAAACCTAAATTATGATATTGACTTGTGTTCAATTTTGCAAGTGCGATCTCTGATAAAGGAAGTTTCACCTTGACACTTGAGAATTCATCATAACTCAACAAAATAGGTGTCTAGCATCTTTTCAGGAAAAAAATGATTAATTTATAAACAGGGAGTTATAATGAGGGCAGGAAAGGTTTCAAGAGAAAATGCTGGAGGGCCCAAAACATCTCCAAAAAAATAAAAAAAAGTACTAGATAATCATTAGACAATTTTCCTACGATGAAGTGATTTGTATTATACGTAATCCTAACAACAACACGGAAGGTTGTATATATTTGGTTTTTTTCTAAACTCTATAATGGCCACAACCCGAGTTGTATAGATTAATTTATTTCTTTTTCTCTTTGTAGTTTTGAGATGAGCGCCTAAAGAAGCTAAAATACTTTATTGCAATAACTTTGAAAGTATGATGATTACTTGTCAATCCATTTCGCTTTAATTATTCATATTTAAAACTTGCTTTTCATTCACATAAAAATTTAAAAAAAAAAAAATAAATTCCATAGACATGCTTTGTTGGTTGGCACTCCCTTAAGATGAAAGTGGCGGCAAATAAATTTAAAAAGAAAAACTTATCTGTAATCATGATTAGTGCTTCCCAAACACTTGAATTAAACAAATACTAACTAACAAAATATTCCAATCTGAGAGGGGTATGATGGAAGAAGGTGCAGAGAGAGAAGGACACATGCCCTACATGTGGGTATGGTTTGGGGACAAAGTAAAGAAACCTTAGAGCATGCAAACAATTCACATGGCTTCACATTATCCCTTTCAAAGTGCCTCTCTTTTCCCAGCTCATCTCCAAACCCCCCTCCACTATAAGGGCTATAGATATATGAATAAATGTACCTTATTTTAATTATTTTAAAATAATTTAGTCTGATTTTTTAATATTATTATAGATATATATTCATGTATATATATAAAGATTTTTATAAGCTGAAAGTTAATAATAATCAAAAAATTAAAATTAAAATTACTATTTTTTTTGCTTCCTTATAATTATTTTTTGATTTTAAATATAAGCTATTTTTACATAAACAAAAATTACACTAAACACTTTAATACACATATTTTTAAAATAAATTAATTATAAATAACCTTATAAACTGAACCAAAAGGACCATGGCCAATCCATAGGCACACATGGTCATGATTTCATTTGACAGGTACACATTCCTAAATGCATGCAATTTGTTTAGGCTATTTGGGTATGATTAAAATCATTTTGGATATGATCAATCACTTTGAGTTGTAATTAAATCAGCATTTTAAATTGTAATTAACACCATTCTCAATAGTAATCAAATATAATTTTAAACTAACTAACATTACTTTCAGTCACAATTAACACCATTTTAAGTCGTAATTAAATAGTATTTTGAATCATAATCAAGACTAACCCACAATAATTTGATGATATTAATCAAACTCCACCAACACTAGTTTAAGACATAATTAACACGGCATTACACACACTTTCAAAGGCTATGTACAATAGAATCGGGGGTGTTTGCGGTTCGGTTTTAGACAATACAGTTTGCGTTTGGACCCGTCCGTATATGTGCGATTTGGGATAAATTGAACCTGCAACAACCTGCAGTGTGGGTTGCGGTTTGTGCGGATATGGTTCACAGATGTGCGGGCGGTTTGCGGATTGAATATTTTTCTTTAAAAATTTATTTTTGGACCTTTTTTTCTCCCGTTTTGTAAATATTTATTTTGAGCCATTTCTCCACCATTTCTAAAATGCTTAACATTAATAATTAATAAATTAAAAATTATAAAATTAAAAATACAACAAAATCAATTTTTAACACAAGCAAATCATTCAAAATCTTGAATTTTTAAATAAAATCATAAACTAATACAAGCACATCTTTCACAATCTTAAACTAAATCATCAAAATCATTCATTACCCAACAATATAATTAAAGTAAAATAATTCAAAATCTAAAAGTATCTAAGATACGATGAATGAAATCAATGATCTAAATTTTTTTTAAAAAAAGTCTAAATGTGGGCGGGTTCTTGCGGGTGCGGGTAAAACATGCAATTGCCATATTTCAAACCGCATTCGCTTGCATTGTATCTGTGAAACTGCCTATTTATATACGAATCGATTTGAATTGAACCGGTTGTGCAATTCAAATAACCATATATCCAGTTCTAGAATTGATCATATTTAGGAGTTGTTTGGGATGATCTAAATAAGTGTACTTTTTGACTTTTTATGAAATATGAGTTGCGTTTGATTTGGATTTGAAGTGATGTCTTAGAGAGATGATATGATTTAAATAAGATAATATAACTTTTTAACTTTTTGATTTTTTTTAAATATGCCAAACCAACCCTTTAATATGGAAAGATGCTATAAGATGGAGATATGATCCATTTTGATTTTTGTGGTCGGTTCAGAATCTTGAGATGATTTTAGTGATCTGACGGTCATGAATAAGCTATGCGTTGTATATGTGCATAGGGGAGGAACATAGGGTAATATTTCTTGCATGTAAATTATGAGACTATTATTATAAGCTTGAGTGGCAAAGGAAAGGTCACAAAAGCACGTGGTCTCTCTGATGATGCCCTCTCTCTCTCTCTCTCTCTGTGTGTTTAATAAAACTACTGGTCTAGTCTGTGACTTCTCCCACTGATACCGTTGAGACACCAACCTCCCCAACAGCTGTCTATAGCTGTCCCAATCTCCCCCCATGTGACCCCACCTTGCATTAGTCTCGGAAAGATTTTATTTATTTATTTACTTTTTTTTTTATTATATAGATTTTAAAGATGTAGTAATAATTGTATTCTCAAAAAATTGTTTAAGTGTTTGAGAAGTTATTATTTTAATAAGTTATTTTAGTTTTTGATTATTTTAGTAAGTTAAAATTTTTGTATTTAAAAAGATAATTAAATTTTTTTATAGTTAGATATAATATTTATGAGAGAAAAAATGAAATGATTATAGATTTAATGTGACATTTTGTCTTATTAGCTATTTTGACCTATTTTGTTTTGTTTTGTTTTGTTTTTTTTTATAATTTTAGCAAAAAAAATGTTAAAATCCAACTTGCCAAACACCCCTTATGTGACATTATCATATTATATTTTAATTAATTTTGTAGTAAAAAAATTTACCAATCAAATATACTGATCCATCTTTGTTGGATATTTAGGAGATAAAGAATAATTTGCTTATTATGTCAAAATTTTTCATTAATTGAGAATATCAGATAAATGACATCTTAAGAATATTTAATATTTTTTCTTAAAAGAGAAGGAGAGTGTGTGTTAAGATGGTTGTGATGATGTTCTTGTGGCTATCTTGCTTGCTAACATTGCATGTCATTGGAGACTATATATAAGAGCTTTTGTTGCATAGAATGTAGTTTGGTTTGGTTTGCTTTCCTTTTTGCTTTGCTCATTTGTTCATTTTCTCTCTCTTATAACACCACAAATATTGAAGAAAAAGAATGGCACAATTGCCTCCAAAAGTGCCTAACATTACACCAAATTGGCATGACTTCCCTCACCAAAGAATGGCCTCCATGGAGAATTTACCATCAAACACTGCCATTGCCACCGCCACCGCCACCGCTACCACCCAATGGATTGACGAATTCCTCGACTTCTCGTCAGCGAAGCGTGGGTCCCACCGGCGATCCATTAGTGACTCAATTGCCTTCATTGAGCCCTCAATAATGGTGGAAGAATGCAGAAGATCATCCGCACCAGGGTCTAGGGCTAACATCGAATTTGAACGGTTCGATGATGAGCAGCTCATGTCCATGTTCGCTGATGAAGTCGCGGTGGCTCCCACCATGTCCTTGTCAAACACGTCGACACCGTCCGATCATAATAGCATTAATGATGAAGACAAACCAGCACCACTTGATCAGATGAAGAATGAGGCTGAGGAGGTGCAAAGTTCATGCAAATCAGAAGCACAAGTCACCACCACTAATGCAATTACAGAGAATTCTACCGAAAAGATCAATATTGATCCTAAAAGGGTCAAGAGGTAATTCATTTTCACATGTTGCATGAAACAAAATATGCTTAATTTCCATTTTTTTTTAAAAACTTTTAAACATGAAATCATTACTTTAATTTTGTTTTAAAAAAAATACACAAAATGCTTTGGTTTTTAAGGGCCCACATTTCATCAGCTACATGTTTTAGTGTTAAAGAGAAATTAAAGTCAATAAATTACTTTATTTTTTTTAACGGTCTTGTATTAAAGTAACAAATGAAGAAATACATTTTTCTTTTTCCAACAAGACACAACATTATTATTACAGAAATGATATTTATCAAAAAATACATTTAATCGTTTTATTTTACTTTTTATTTATATTTATAAATACCAAGCTTTATGTGTAAATATGTAGAAACAATGTGATCTATCATTACATATGAAAACCTATATAAAATGTAAATGGTTCTGTTAAAATATTTCACATGATATATCACACAACAACTATGATTACAACAATGCATGCGAGAAATAAACATATGCACTATGTCTAGGGTTTGAGTTGAATTATTGTTAATTAACTAACTACATATGACTTCTGTTTGCATTAGAATCTTGGCCAACAGACAATCTGCGCAAAGGTCACGAGTGAGAAAGTTGCAATACATATCGGAGCTTGAACGCAGCGTTAACTCACTCCAAGTACGTAATTTAGCCTTTGAAGTTGCCTAATTTAACTAAATTGTTGTTGCATTGCATGGTTTTCTAAAGTTAAATATGTTGTTTTTTGTTGTTTAATGAAGGCTGAAGTATCAGTGTTGTCACCAAGGGTGGCATTTTTGGATCACCAACGCTTAATTCTGAACGTCGATAATAGCACTCTCAAGCAAAGGATTGCAGCCCTCGCCCAAGATAAGATTTTCAAAGATGGTAAGTGATTAATTACTTTAATTTCTCTCTTCTAAAAACAAACATCTCAATGATTGAAAAACTTAGGCCGTATTTGGATTGAGGAGTTTTGGTGAGAAATGAAAAGAAAAACATCATAGCATGTAATAGATTTAGTGATTTGCCTACCAAAATAATAAGTAATGCAGAGAAAAAAAAACACAATAGCGAAAGCTATAAAAACCTTTAATGATAGAATTTTGACTTCAAGTATGCTCTGAAAACGCAATATGCAAAAGTTTTCATCTCCATTTGGGTCAGCAAAGAATTTAATTTGAATGGTTGGGTAGTTAATTTGGTGAGGGTCTGTAGACTCCTGGTGATTAGTCGAATTTTGATTTGGACACTCCGATGCCAATTAATTAAAAAATAAAATAAAATTATGTATGCTATTATGCATTGATCATATCACACATCTGGTCCACAAGAGAAAACTAGTTTCACTATACAACCCTAATTATATAACTTGGGACCCAAAAGTTAGTGGGCCTTTAGAGTGTCTCCAACGCTTATTTTCTTTTTTCATAAAATTTAAATTTGATGAAATAAGTATACTTTTTCTACTCCAACCATGACATCAAATTCATATCAAATTAGGGAAAACTCAAAAATTTTCATCAAATTGAAAGAGGTTTCAACGTTCATCAAATTTTTGTAGATTGCCATTGAGGCTTCACCATACACCGGACAACCGGCCGGTTGTCCGTTGCTTGCAAAATTGCCCATTGCTACTGTCTTGCCGGTTGTCCTCCCAATCAACCGATTGCTTGATGAAACTTAAAAATTAGCGTTGGAATGTGTGGTATCAAATGAAACATTTCATCAAATTTTTATTCAAATTTAATAAAAATTTAGAATAATGATCCCTTACATAATAGATGAAGAATGTTAACTAGCTAGTAGTCTAGGACCACATTTGGATGGCTAGGATCTTTGTTGGAGCTTTTAAGTCACTTGTTTCACTATTGTATGGATAAAAACAACCTATTTATGGATGTACCTTGCACTTTCATGCTTTTAATGCAATAGTGTTATCGAGTAGGTCTACCCTATCATGTGACCAATATGAATTTAATAATGGAGAGCCATTGTTCTAAAAAATAATAGTAATAATAATAGAGAGGCATGATCATTTTGTTTAGAAAATAAAAATGAATTACTCTCTTACAATTAAAATGAAAAATCATGTATCCAATAAAACGAATCAACTAGATACTTTATCCCTGTACAAAATGAAATTCACATAATATTGGCAACTTGGTACTACTACTATTGTTCACCAAATCAAAATTCACGTAATATTGGCATCCATGATTTGTTTGTTGTATAAAAAATAGGACTAATTGACTAATTGCTGAACGGTAACATAACGGAATGGAGGTAGTGTAATTTTGAAAACTTTAGGGGAGGTCCTATAGTTGTTAGAAACCACAAGGAGATCCGTATAATTAGCTCTAAACAAAAATGCTATATTGGTTAATTTAAAGGTTCAATTAACATCATGTTTAATTTGTATATGGGAATGCAGCTCATCAAGAAGCACTGAGAAGGGAAATAGAGAGACTAAGGAAAGTGTATCAAGACCAAAATCTCAAGAAGATGGACAATGCTAAGCCACCTTCCTCTGATGCCAACAACGGTCCTATGGAAAATGATCAGCTAATTCTCAACTGAAAAAAGCCAAGGCCATGCATTTCACTCTTCCTCAGTGTGTTCTCCCCCACTTCACTCAAGTGATTTAAGGGCTCTACTAAAAATTAGTTTGTTTTTAATGAATTTTTAAGCATTAATTCATCTTCATTTTTAATAATGTTTCTAGAATAAGAAAGGAATTGGATTAGATGTTGAAGAGATGATCCACTAAATTCTAAAAGTTTTACTAAATAAAAAGTTAACCAATTTCATATTCATATTTCTAGTCATTTCATCAATGGGAGAAGAAGAAATTCATTAGAGGAAGAGGAAGAGCCCAAGGGTGAGGTAGGTAGGTACTCATGCTTATCCATTCACATGAATGGGTATCCCATTTTGGTGGGGCCCACAGAAGATCACATGGTGGGACCCAGCCAAAGGTAACCTAAAGAAAGGCAATTGGCCCCTATGATAGGGGCCTAAGAGAAAGGATTAGGGGAGGAGGGTGGTTGTGATGCAATTTATTTCTTCTCCATTCATTAGTATGTTTTGTTTTGTTTTGTTTTTGTTTTTTTTAAATTCTTTTCAAAGTCACTGTTTTGGAAAGCTAGGGATAGTGGGTTTGTGTTGGGATGCATGAAAGAAGGGCTTGTCAGGTGGAGTTGTTGATGTCAGGTTGTGCAATTTTTAGTCCTTGAAAAAAAAGGGTGTGTTATTGTTTGATGTTCTTTAAGAAAGGGGAAGAAAAAAGAGAAAAAAAAGGTGTAAATATGATTTTTTTTTTTTAATCTAGTGAATTTTTGTGATTCCGGGGTCTTGAATCTCTGAGTGTTTTTTTACTGACCAATCATTCAGTGGTAAAGATGTCAACAAAAAAAAAAAAAAGCAAAAAAAGAAAAAAAAAAAAAAGAGGGAAGAGAAACATGAGTCATGGGCCATACTAACCTGAAAAGTCTGAAGGCAACTAGGGTTGGTTTGTCATTACTTTCCCATAAAGAAATCAAAGCAAAACTCCTTTGCTAAATCAATCCTTCACATCTGATCAAAAGAAAAACAAAATTCAATCCTTCACATCACATGTGCAATGACAGTGCAGTTGGCAAAGGAGGCTTCCCACTTTATTAGTGGTACAAGTATGTCTTGACTTAAAATAGTATTAGTTATCAGAGAAATAATATAACCTCATTTTATCTTATAATTGACATTACTTTGTCATGTAACTAAACACCACTCAGACCAAACCTAATTTGACATATGCTAATCTCATTACCACTTCACATATTTGTTAGGAAATAGAGTTCCTTAGCACACCACATAACAATCTCGAAGCAATCTCACTACACCTACATCGGGACTAAAATTAAGGTCTCATCACGTGTTCTGAGTGCTGAAAAGTATATTTAACCTCACCAAACGACTATTGAGACTCAAATCCTAACATCAAGCGATAAAATATCACTTTAAATCATACACACTGCTCAAAAGGACGTATAACATACTTACGCTTTTGATCATAATGACCTATGAAGCACGGATACGGACACGGACACCGGACACGGCAATTTTTAAAAAATGGGGACACGGCAGGGGACACGGCAAATTTTTTAATTTTTTTATAAATAATTTTATTTTAATACATATTAATTATTTTATTTATATATTATATTTTTAAATAATGTGTTGTAATTAATTATTTTATTTTATTTTACATACATGTGTTTATTTTTTTATTTATTAATATGTATAAGTATATATTATCTTATAATATGTATTATCCATTATCTAATAAGTATATTTATGTTATATAATAAAATAATAATAGTTATTAGTTATATATATTATATAATAATAGTTATTAGTTATATATATTATATATGAATATATAATAATAATAATAGTTAAAATAATAATAGTTATTAGTTATATATATTATATATGAATATATAATAATAATAATAGTTATCATAATAGTTATAATATCAAGACAAGAAGACAAACGGTAGAGAACCGAGAGAGAGGGAGACAGAAGCAAGGGAGACGATCGCGATCAAAAGCGAGAGAGAGGGAGACGATCGCGATCGCGAGGGAGAGAGCGAAGGCGAGAGAGAGAGAGAGAGAGAGAGAGCTCTGCGAAGGCAAAGGCGAGAGAGAGCTCGTCGAAGTCAAAGGGGCTGGATCGTCGAAGTTGAATGGGGCTCTGGATCGTCGATCGAAGTCGAAGGGCTTTGGATTGTCGCCGACCAGGTTTGTACTCGTTTTCCCTTTCATTTACTCTTCTCGCCGTGTCCATGGCGTATCCAGATTTGGACACGCGTGTCCCCTGCAAAAAAATAAATTAAATTAAGGGGACACGCCAGATGCCGTGTCCCGTACGTGTACCCGGCGTGTCCCCGTATCCGACACCGCCACGGCTTCTATTTTGCTGTGTCCATGCTTCATAGATAAGGACTTTGGTTCATAACACTGTCAACAAAAATCAATTTAGTCATAACCAAAACTATCACTTTAAACATAAGTTTTGTTAACAAATGTCATATAAATGCATTAGTTAATAAAGATTAAAATAATTATACATTTTCATTACACACTTCTACCCCCCAAAAAATGTATAATCATTTCAAGCTTGCTAACAAGTGTCACAGGACACTCCTTAACAAAATGCTTAACTCACAATTTTATTGGTGTTTCAAGCTTGTTAACAAGTGTCCATAGGACACTCCTTAACAAAATTCTTAACTCACAACTTTATTAGTGTTTCGTGCACTGGGTACACCATTTTAATGAATTAGTTATTTTCAGTGATTGCTGCTACTGAAGCACAATTCTTCTGAGTCCAAAGTGGGGAGTGTTTAGTGTAGGATTTGAAACCTGCATATAAATTAGATAAATGTCTAAATACTAACTCAAAAAGGGCACATAACAAAACTGTAACCCAAGTCATCCAACTCTGACCTCCAACAAACAGATAAAAAATAGGGTTTGTTACCATTCACACTAACTTTTATATACCCTCCATTGAAAAGCTTACTCTGAACTGATAAAACCAATTGTTAATGGCTTACTAGAGAAAGGGGATAATCAATGCTTATCAAAGTGAGAATGCACAATCTGAAGGTAAGGAAAAATCCCTCCACACTAGAGAGAGAGAGAGAGAGAGAGATGGCATCTTCAACTATATGGGGTTCTAAATCATAAGATGAAGTGCAAAATTAACATAATTTAAACTAGTTTTGGTCACATAATTGCTTGGTAGATTCACTCAAAGCAAAATAAAAAAATATCTATATATAGATATACATATATTTATACCTTTTCAACATCATTCCAAATGAAGACATGACATCGTTCGTGAAGACCACAGGATTTGGGCTCCATTTTATGTTTTCTACAATTGAAGCACAGATTATCCATGTATGGGGTGATGAACAAATCAGATGAATAAAAGGCTGTACCCAGTCCATAATCATATAAGAAAATTGTTTTCTCCCATTTACTGCCTCTTGATAGCATCACTAACTTCCTGCAACAGACTTAACAGAGCACATTACAATTAGTGGAGTAACATGCAACCTACAATACATCAACAAAAACCCAATCCCAGGCAAATCACACTTTTGAAGCCGAGGTTATAAGCATTTGATCAAAATGGTAGACAATTCCTCAGATGGGCATCAGGAAAAATTGAAATAAGACACAGCCTCACAATGCTTGATCAAATTTCACTAATCTATATCATTCTTCAAAGGAATACTTCTGGCTAAATGAGCAACTGATTTAAAGATGCTTAGAAGGGCATGTACTGAAAATTTTAACTACACCAACTAGCAGACTAGCATTGTTTTGGAATGCTTGAGCAATCAATTAGTTAGAGCATTTATGTTTTGTAAAAGTTGCCTACTTGTAAATTATGGGAACTTTTGGGACAATGCATACAATTTGCAGCATAAACACTGTCAAATGAAGCAAAATGAACGCAAGTACATACTTTGATGCTGGGAGGCACTTCCTCTTCCTGGAACCATGTCTCTGTTAACTATGAGATTTCAAAAACACATCAGCAACTTGGAATTGTTATAAAACAAAAATAATCAACCCAAGCAATGAATACTCAAGAGTCAGATAATACAAGGGCAATCCATAATGTGCATTTCCTCTGCTCTGAAAGCCTAAGTTAAATATCTAGAGTTTGTAACACATAAAATCGAAAAGAAACCAAAATGCAAGATCTCAGTCAGAACACAACAACATTCTGCAGCTTCTTCTAATTCGTTTCTTCCTCTTCTTCTTCTTTTCAATTCTTTAGAGAGTAAGTGCAAAGAGAAAGGCCTAGATGAGGATCTGTGTTTTGACGGTTTTATTAGGTATTTCTGTATTTATATATATAGATAAACAGAGCTTTCTACATTTTCTGGTCCAAACTCAGTCTGAGGACTACAAAGAACAAGAAGATGAAAAATCATCAAAGTATTTGATATATTCATCCCAGGCTTGTGAGTAAATCAACTCACCATGGGACCAAACCAACTCTATGACATTCAGACATGCTCCATAAAAAGTTCTAATTAATAGATTGTATGAAAATATAACATGAACTAAAGTCGCTTTGGCAAACTAAAGGGGATTTGACATGTCTCTATTCGTTCAAGGTTGTGACCTCCTGGGGTAAGATTAAATCCATCATCTTCCTCTTCTTCATCCTCATCCTCCTTCTCCTTCTCTTCTTCTGGTTTCCTCTCCTTGTTATCACTATCCATACCCTTATCATCTTCCATATTACAAGGCTGCAAGAAATGGTCACCCGTGGTGTTCTTTCCATCCAAAAGCCAATGTCCTTTTACCTCCTTGCTTTTCTCTATATCCATCATATTCCCATCCTTGACCTCTTCCGTCTCAACAATTTCTTGTGCCAAAGTCAACACGACATATGGTGCCTCCACCACAACATCACCATCTGACTCTTGTCCCCGAAAATCATCAGACTCAGCCATTTTCACTTCACCACCATCCTCTCATTCTTCACCTCAAACACTGCTTCCACCTTCGGTTCTTCACCATCCTCTTCCTCCACCTCGAACTCTGCCTCCAACTTGGGTTCTTCACCATTCTCTTCCTCCTTCAGCCCCACCTCCACCACCTTGGATTCTTTATCACCCTCTTCCACCTTCACCTCCACCTCTGCCACCACCTTGGGTTCTTCAACACCCTGTTCCTCCACCTCCATCTCATTATTTTCTAGCCCTAAAGTCAAATCGACATTAGGTGCTTCCATCATGACATCATCATGTGACTCTTGTCCCTGAAAATCATCAGACCCAGCCGTGTTCACTTCAGGACCATTCGCTTCCTCCTTCACCTCAAACACTGCCTCCACCTTGTGTTCTTCACCATCCTCTTCCACCTCCACCTTGCGTTCTTCACCACCCTCTTCCTCCTTAAACTCCACCTCTGCCACCACCTTGGGCTCTTCACCACCCTCTACTACCTCCATCACCACCTTGGGTTCTTCACCACCATCTTTCTCCTTCAGCTCCAACTCTGCCTCCACCTTGGGTTCTTCACCACCCTCTTCCTCCTTCAGCTCCACCTCTGCCACCAACTTGGGTTCTCCACCACCCTTTTCCAGCGTCACCTCTGCCACCACCTTGGGGTTTTCAACATAGTCTTCCTCCTTCACCCCCTACCTTGAGTTC